TGGTATGAAAGGAAGAGAAATGTGAATGTCGACAGATGCTCTAATGGTAAAGCGGAAAAGTATGATCAACACCCAACGCGCTCGTAATGCAATGATCAGGAAAGCAATAAAGCGAAGGTGAAGGATGAGTCGTTATGTCGTATGCGTAGAGGAATTTGTGGTGAATCAAGATTGATGTTCTCATACGGTGTAGATGAGAGTAAGGGAAGATACAAGGTGCAGTTTCAAGCACTTCTAGGCGCCGGACGAGTCCTGGAAATCCGCTGGCTTCGTCGGGGTGGCTTTCGCTCATCGCTGGACTCATTCGGAATGCTAGAAGTTTCACTTGAAACGGTTTTTGACCGAATTCTGAGCTTCCTGTCCTGCGGCAAAAGACTGGGACTATCCGTTGCAGACTCAAAAGAGCTGGCCTCAGTCTGCTCAGTGCTTGGCTGGACTGCAGGCTTGGGAACGACCGTGTCTGGGCTGACTCGCAACCGCAACGAGACCAGATCATTCTGATCGTCTCTAAACTCAATCCCGACCATGACATCAGGGAGGATACGCCTTTTACTCTCGCGAGTCCGGGTACGTCGGACAGCTGGCTGAGGGTTGTCATCAGCGTCACTCTCATCTGCTGAACGTTTGCTGCCGACGCTGAAAGGCGAAGAGGATCTCGAGGATGCTTGCAGGCGGGACTTCATGATGGCCTTGGACGAGGGCGCGTCTGCCAGAGACGTATTGCCATCCTCGCCGAGGAGATTCATAAATGCCCGGTCAATATTGCCGCGGCACTGCTGTAGCATTTCTACTATAGCGCCTTGATCATACTTACCCCCCAGACCCTCCTGAATTGCAGAGATCTTCCAAGGGGTAGCCATATCGACAACTGTGGGTTCAGCAGCTGACGCCTCTGCTTCCTGCTCTTTACCGACTGTGGGAATACAAGGCAGACCGGTGTGAGGTCCATCGTTATGCCGCACAGAGGAGTAGTGATGGAAATCCTAAACCCGTTAGACAACTGTACGGTGATATCATAGCACAATGTATCTTACGTGGAATGCGATATGAATGATGTCGCGTTCCTCTCCTTCAGGGGCGTGAACGTCACGAAAATTCTGAATGCCGTACATGGTATAGACGCGAACGTCCTTCTTGAAGGCCTGGCAGAAAGCTTGGATTTCCTCTGCTCCTCCCCAAACGCCCTTCTTCCGGGACTCTGCCACCTTGGAGTCAAAGCTCCGCTCTTTATCCTTGGCTGAAGGAGGCGCCGGGCTAGCGGACGAAGAGGAACAATAAGATTGTCGGGCGGCTGCAGCCGCAGCTCGTCGAGGGGCTCGACGCTCCCCACCGGCCGCGGCTATGAAGCTCATGAAGTAGTCTTTGTTGGCGGATATGTGGTCTGCAAGACGATCACGGATTTCGTCGGCGTGCGTGAAATCCCCATAAGTCTGATCCGACAGCGCGTAGTAAAGGCAGTTGCCTACGATGCAGAGTTAGATAGATTGGAGAGCATGCTTCTTTGACTCAATTGAGGTTAAAATTGAAGCTGGATGCCCAATGGCAGGGACCACGTTACCATCACCCTCAGTGGGGAGAGCATAGAGCCCTAGCGCATTGAGGCAAGGAATCTCCAGAGTTTCCGCCTCTGCAGTCTTGTTGCGTGCATTGCGAGGCATCTTGGCCTTTTGAGAGGTCTGTGAAGATGTTTTGGCCATGGCTTCATCTGTCGGAGAGCTGGAGTAGTGTTGACGGGCAGTCGTGACTATAGGCACGATTCTGCCACCATTTGGAGCGTCCGCCATGGTTGATGTATAGCCCTGCCCGACGAACGGCCCTCATTTGGCGCAAGGGGAACACAGAAGAGCCTCGTCGAGCAGAGGAGAATAGAGGCGGGACAATAGGAAAAGTGGGGAGCCACACAATAGTCAAAGAAGAACAGCCGAGTGTTCTGGAGCAGTAGAATGGGGAGAGAGTGAATAAATTGGGGGGGGGGGAAAGAGGGAGAGAAAAGCAACACACGATCTACACGCGAGAGAGACAGGCGAGACTTTTCTTGTTCGGACGGAGAGTGCGGAGGAACCCCGTTTACTTACAGAATCAACTTACTTAACTTACCTTACCAGGAAAAAACTTACCCTCTTACAGCCCCGTTCCTTACCGAGGACGAGGCGGTGAGATAATATGTTCGTTGTGATTGGCTGTGATGGGGGTGTGAGGTTGTCACCGATGACGAAAGACCTTTCCCCTCCGTCGCCTCGGCGCTTACAATGGATCTGTCCGTTCGGGAGCGGTCAGGCCAGACAGATCCTGGCGCTTTGCTGGTACATCTCTCCGGCACATGCAGGCATACCTGATGAAGTGGCCTGAACAATTTTGGCAGATCAGCCTTTCTGCACTTCATCCCATCCTTCTCCTCTTCCCCATTTAGTCACAATTTATTCAGGGTCCTAGATCCTGACCTATACTTACCGCCGGGCAAGGGCTGTGTCGACCGGTCCGTATGGTAAGCCGCGGTCGGGACGCGTTCCGTTGGGTAAGTACTTTGTACCGTATATACACCAATTATACATTAGTGGTTACCGGAAGCCGCCCGTACCTTACCTGTAATCGCCGAATGAGGTCCGAGCAAAAGACAGAAAAAGAGGAGTCGAAGTCTTATCAGAATGGCGGGATCGGCCTCCGATAACTAATTTGACTGACGGGGATCGTGTCTCAACATCCCCTCTCCTTGGCTTGACTCATGTTTATTCCTATCTCTGTATCTCTATGCCCGAGTGCTTGCTTATAAGCCTGTCTATGCCATTGGAGTCTTTTGCGAACCATCTTTCCAAGAATATCTAATCCATTGCCGAGCGCAAGATGGGGAACAACCGCATTGTAATCCTGGGGTAAGAACTACTTCCCCGCAAGCTCACATGTCACCAGCGTATGCTGATTTCGAGAATCACCAGGGCTGGTGTCTCCGGTCTCACCACCGCATATCTGCTGTCCCAAGATGCCTCTAACAGCATTACTGTTCTGGCCAAGCACATGCCTGGTGACTATGACATCGAATATACTTCTCCCTGGGCTGGTGCCAACTATCTTCCGTATGTCCTCCAAGGGTAGGCCCTCAGCTGTGCATCTCACTGCCCGTATCAAAGGCTAATGCAAAGTCTTCTCCTCTCAAAGTGTGGGCAAGGCCGGAAGCGATCATGAGAGATGGGAACGAAACACCTGGCCCACCCTGAGGGAGCTCACGAAGAACCACCCCGAAGCGGGCATTCATTTCCAAGGTACGCTCCAAGCTCTCATTGAAGACCTCTACTAATCATACCTCATCAGAAACCATTGTTTACAACCGTACAAAGGATCAGGGATCAGCAACCGGAGAATGGTTCTCCGAACTGGTGCAGAAAGACCCATGGTATATGGAAGTTGTTCCTGACGTGAGTAAACGCATGTACTCTCTATGACCAAGAACTCTCCTAACCTCATCAAGTTCCAAGATATCCCCGCCGACCAGCTAGCCCCCGGAATCGACAACGCATCCAAATTCACATCAGTGTGCATCAACACCGCCGTCTACCTACCCTGGCTAGTCGGCCAATGCCGGAAAAACGGCGTCGTCTTCAAACGAGCCGTTCTCAAGCACGTATCAGACGCGGCAAAGGGCCACCACACCGGCCAAAAAGCCGATGTGGTAGTCAATTGCACCGGACTCTCGTCCAAGAAGTTGGGCGGTGTGCTCGATGACAAGCTCTACCCTGCACGCGGTCAGATTGTCGTCGTGCGTAATGACCCTGGTAAGATGGTGTCTATTTCTGGCACAGATGATGGCGAGGATGAGGTCGTTTACATGATGACCCGTGCAGCGGGTGGTGGAACTGTCATTGGTGGTTCATATCAAAAGAACCAGTGGGATCCTCTGCCTGATCCCAACTTGGCTGTTCGGATCATGAAGCGGGCAATCGCTCTATGCCCGGAGCTGGTCGAGAAGGGGCAGGGTATCGAAGGTCTGGATATAATCAGACATGGCGTTGGATTGCGCCCCCTCCGTGAGGGCGGGCCGCGTATTGAAGCGGAAAAGGTCGATGGTGTGTCCGTTGTGCATAACTATGGTCATGGTGGCTTTGGGTATCAGGCGTCATTTGGATGTGCGGAGGATGCTGTGAAGCTGGTCCAGGAAACGTTGCGCCGCAAGGATAAAGCGAAGTTGTAGACGCAGACATAGCATTCTATTCGGGGCCAGACTATAAAGTTTAGCACGTTAACCTAAAAAAGCATAGTTCTTTCGCTCTGGTTACTGGTACGTTACATGCAAGAACTGTTTCGATTCCAGCCATGAATGACGGGCATAGCGTCTGAATTCATCATGACGCCATAGCCGCGGAGAAGCCATCTGCTATTTACCCCAGACTATTTATCAATCAAAACTTTCAACTACGACAACTCACGGTATCTCAACTCAATTGATCCATAATATAATAATTCTCATTGTGATATACGCCATTTCCATCTCGTTCACATTTTAGCAGCTTCTCGCCAAGATGAAGTACAAATCGCCCCAGGTAGAAAGCGAAACCGACGCAGCTGATGCCCCCAAGCGCAAGCTCGATCAGCGAGACCCTGGTGTCGACACCGGCGAAGGAAGTCTCGAGGTAGAGAAGGAGCAGCCGCCTACCAAAGCGTCCAAGTCAGCTGCAAACACTGCCGATGAAGATGACTTGATTCAGGAGGACTCCGGTTATAAGGACGAAGACTTCGAGGAAGAGGACGAGGAAGACAATGAAGAACTCGATGAAGAGGAAGAATATGACGAGGCAGATGACGAGAACGTCGACCTTGTGAAAGAGCAAGGTGGTGAAGAAGAAGAAGATGAGGACGCAGAAGGCGAGGAAGACAACGAAGAAGCAGCAGATAGTGCGTCAAATAAGCCCAAACTGCAAAAGGTCGTCAAGGAATTTGGTCGCCCGCCCTTGTATGGCACCGAAATCGCAGAGAAAGGCCTGGAGAGCTCTCCGGACACTCTACTTGCTATGGTCATGGACGCGATGCTGAAATCGCGCCCCATCTCGCACGACCTGACACAGCGTGCAGTTAATAAGCTTATCGAGGTCGGGTATCATGATATACGGAAATTAGGGGAGAGCAGCTGGGAGGAGAGAACAATGGTTCTCAAGGATGGGGGATATAATCGCTATCGGGAGCAAGGTGCAACGAATCTAGGCGATTTGGCAGAGTTCGTCAATGAGAAGTACGGTACGTGTGTTTCACCGCAGGAATGCGTCATGTAAGATTTTGGCCGGTGACTGACTGCATCTTGCAGATGGTGATCTTAACAATCTCCTGAAGAAAGCCCATAACGACCGAGACGAAACGAGAAAGTTGATCAAGGAGATCAAAGGACTAGGCGACCTGGGCGTAGATCTCTTTTTTAACAATGCCCAGGCTGTGTGGCCTTCCCTTGCACCTTTCATTGATGGGCGCAGTTTGGAAACTGCTGATAACGTCGGTCTTGGTACGGATTTGGACGCTATCTACGCCGATTTAGGACGCGACTCCATGAACATGAGCCGACTAGCCAATGGATTGTCGGCCGTGAGACTGGAGAAGAGGCAAGGAGATCTCATGGCGATCTAAACGGCTAGTGTAGGGCTTTCTGGCATCGGTACATGTTTGGGAGTCCGTCAGGCATCTGTTTTCGAAGCAAAGTATGCCCGTCAACAGCTGTCATACTTGACAGATCGTAGTTGCCTATCAGATATGACGTATGAGTGGCCCTCGTGATCAATTAAGTCTGCACATGTCTTTCAGACACAATGGGAACAAACAAACAAAAAATAGTATGAGATTTGTCGAGTGCATCTAGCCCCTTTCCCTGACCTGAATGCGGCATAAAAGCTCCTTTGTAGAATTGTTATCCTCGCACATCCAGAAATAGTAGCTGAAATGGGTCTTTCATCTCGCGTATTTGCGGGCGCTCCGGAGACGAGACCTGCTGAGTCATCTACCCAGCGTCTTGGCAGACCCGCTGCTTGCGACAGCGCGACAACTGATGCTTGAGCCTCTCCATCTCCTTGATTTCCCTTCCGCCCTCTTCCTTCCAACTTGTATCTGTCAAAGAAGCTTGGCTTTCAAGGTGAGCTTCTACCCCCTGGCTGCGTTATAATGCTGCCCACAATCCCTTGGAGTGGCCATCACTCGCGCGACCATAGCTGACGTAGCTGTTATGGCTGACCTGCCGGAGCCCAATCCGGCGTTGGTCTCATCCTGTTGAATGAACCGGCTAACGCAGTTGAACTACAGAATTTCTCCCCTTTCTACCCGTTCCGAGACTCAATCTTCGTCATTGAACGCCCTATCTATATCTCGACGACCGGCATATTAGCAGGAAGAGCTCTTTAGGCCTCAACATTTGCCAAAATGGATCTTTCTAACATCTTGTACGTCGACGGTGGCTGTGCATCGCATATGGTTTTGGTGAAATGTGCTCTAACGTCAACAACCGCAGTCGAATTGTTAACATCGCCGTCGGTGTGTTGATGGTTCTCGGTGGTATCTCGCAGTTCTTCCCTCCGTCTATGAGCTCCATCATCGTCGGCATCTACGTGATTCTGTTTGGTCTCAGTAAGTCTCGGATCAGGCAGCAGTATAGCGCATCTGACAGCATACTTACACCATGGCCTTAGTTGTCGGTGGATTGGAATTCCTGCCCAACGTTCCCGATTACGTTTACCGCTACGCGTCCTTCCTCTTCTCTTTCCTGGGACGTGGTGCTTGTAAGTCACACTATCCGTGATCGCCGTAGATCCCTGCTAATGAGTTGACCACTTGCGTAGTCTACATCTTCGTTGGATCTATCCTGCTGCACGATGGCGTTTTGCGGTACATTGCCGGCTCCATCATCGGATTCATCGGCCTGGGCTACCTTGCCCTGGAGTTCATTCCCTCCATCGAGCCCCCTTCCAACATGCGTGAGAACGACCAGGGTTGGGGCGCCGAGCAGGTCTAAACGCGGTGTAAAAACTGTTCTTCGTTAACGGAGTGATGGTGTATGACGCATAATCCTTTGTGTTCTCAGAGTTGGTTATCGTCTGCGATCCCTCTCGCTGACAAGTACAACAAGACACCGTGGCTGCAAACGAGGCGTTCGAAGCACGAGTGAGAGTCAGGGAAAGCGAAAATAACTCTTATGCGATGTTTGATGATCGACGAGCGCGATGATTGATTCTCAGCGATGATTCAAGTGATGGTGGTTGCAAAGACAAAACGATCAGGTTTGGGCCGGGTTTTCCGGCCAGAAGATGACACCGAATCATTCTACATCACGTTATCTTTTTTCTCTTTTCTCAAATGGTGGATGTTTGCATTGGAGAATTTTAAAGGCCTAGGCTGTCCTGTGGGGCCAGTGGTCCGTTCGTACCGGATGGCGCTGTTTCATGCCCATTAGTTTTGTATAATAAGTAGTAGATGATATATAATAAATCCTAAGCCGAAGTCTGACATGGACTCGCCAGTCCAGATATGGCCGCGTGGCGTGATAACAGCCAGTAAATTAGTATAGTAGTATTGGGTGTTGAGACGAACATCACACCACATGAATCGCCTATCATGGCCAAGCACTACAGTATACAAACTGAGTACTAATTAGCGATGCTACAGCACCACAACAGCGGCGTCCCGCCGTCTTAAGCTACCCATGTGGGACAAGGAAACACATGGACTCGTCTTCTCCGACGACAGCCACCACGGACAGCCCCATGCTAAGCATGTGTGGGTAGAGTTATCTGATCCGGCTTGCCGCTCAGGCAACATGCAAACTACTCGAACTAGCTCGATCAAGTCCAGAACTAAGCCATCCCCATCCCACGCCCCCCACACGTAGAAAGTAGACCAAGGGGGGGGGGGCTTCAAACAACTCAAAGATCGCCTCGGGCAAACCTGCTCCATAGGAACGTTTGACAGCACAAGCACGAGCGGCCGATTCGGTATGATCTTCCGGTCCCAGAATTCGGAGATGGCGATACCCCAGCTCGGAGATAAGTGTTACAGATGGGCCTTCTTCACCCTATCTAGGTCGACTGATTATCAAGATGGGGCCGTTGTGTGTTCGTTCCGGATGCGGTAAACTTCTGCGCCGTCCCACTCGAGTCACGGGGTTATGTTTTCGGCTTTTTCTTTTCACAGTTGTTGAGGACACGCTTCCCCCATCCCTCTGAGGAATATTATGTTGAATCAGATAATAAAAAAATTTCCTCGGTTTAACAATGCTATCAATCATCGAGGAATGAAAAACCCACCTGTCGTATGCCTCACCCAATACCAACTAGTCTAGACCAGACACTAGACAGTAGAACCTCACAACAGAACGAGCCTATCACTGCAGCTGTCGTTGCCCCCTTCCCCCTCCCTTCCTCCACTATTCTAACGCGCAAGATCAACCTAATCGTAGCGTAAAACCGTTACTCCCGAGCCCGACTCCCGAGCCCCTCCTACTGCCTAGTCAAAATCCGCGCGCGCGCCTCGTTCAAGAATTCCGTCCACAGCTATACCGCCAAGCCCCTTGCCAAGCCCTGCCAAGAAATTGATATCGACTTATCAATCAACGGATCGATCCAGAATCAGCCTCACCTTGCGAGAAGGGGGGCCCGAGTTACTTGCTCGCTCCCTCTTTCCTTCCTTTCAACTTGAAAGCAACAACCGACAAAGTGAACATTCGTATACATCCTAGGCGACACGCTCAGACGAATAGTATTCATTTCCGACCATATCCGGGGGTTTTTCATTTTTAATTTACGTTACGCAGGGCAAAACTAACTCGACGATGAATTTCCTAATTCGTTTGCGTAGACTATGTATGTTTGTAGGTATGTATGTATGTATGTGATGGTCGTCATCACATACACACGGACACACACACTTATGCAGCATTAATTAGATACCCTCCCCAAGTACCAACAAGTTTATCCCGGAGTTGCGGAACTTCCGCGCGTTGGAACCCCCGAGTCGGTGTAGGGCGGCAAATTAAAATCCGCGTTGATGAGGGGGTGGGCAAAAAGAAAGAAAAAAGGGTGTGTCGAAAGCTAAATCGACGCAGGTTGCCGATTTTAGCGTTATCGGTTAGGGACTTTACCGGTACAGGTAAGTAAGTAAGCCTGGTAGGTAGGTACTAGGTAGTAGCGTAGTAGTCTGCTGTGATCATATCATATCCATCTCACATCATATCATATCATATCATATCGTATCCATTTTTGTGCCGGGCTGGCGGGTTGGGGGGGAAGAGAGAGGAGAGGGGGGTGTGTGGTCAGGTTATCGGGGTCATACATCACGCCACGATCGACTAAGGGGGTGGTGGGCTACTACCTACGTACCTACGTACTTAGTGGCGCTTGATTAAGTTGATTCTGTTGGTTTGGTTGATTTGATTTGATTTGATTGATTGATTACTTGGTTGACGGGCTAGAGTTGATACATGGCTAGATAGGTCGGGATGAGTCGGCTGGGTTTGGTTGATTGATTGATTGTAACTAACAGTACTACGGAGTACTCCGTACGGAGGAATGGCGATGGATTTTTAGGATGGGTTACTTCTCCGTAGAAACGGTCAGAAATAGATTATTTCCGAAAGTTGAGAGACAAAATAAGCGAACGTTTCGATAAGGAGGTCGGCGTTTGGGATGGATACTTTCGGCCCCCCCTCTTTTGCCTCTCCTCTCATCTTCAGTATCCAATCATCCAACCAACCAATTATTATGAATGTTACCTATCAGATCCATCCGGTGGGCATGCTTAGAAGAGTGGGAACAGGGAGAGAAGGGAAAAAAATGAGGAGGCGTGTCAGAGTGTCAAAAAGTCAGACGCAGCTGCGCCTTGCGCCTTGCGCCTTGTGCAGCCAGTGTCGGAAGGTTATGAAAAGTCTTGAAGATGATGGTTTACATACGCCAGGGCGAATCGGCAATCCGGAAGGGGAAAATAAAGAGAGGTACTTTGTTGTTCTTGTTGTTGCTGTCAGTTCTTGGGTGGGTAAGAATCCAATCACATGAGCGAGATAGATCAAAACCGGGCTCTTTCGTCAGCCCGCCCGTCGGAGAGATAACAACCTGTTCCGGTGTGCTTAGGCAGTAGCCTTACGGGCTTCCACATTGTCCCAAATAGGGACCAGTGGGACTCTTCGGGCTCATCTTATGCAGTCTGGTTACCTAGTCCAACAGCTAGCACCACTAGGGCGGTGCTTCGTTATGGCCGACTACCGAACGAAAGAGTGCATAGTGTGACCATCGGAGCGGAGCATGGAAGCTCGGGATATCGTGATAGAATCTCCGAAGCAGCCAATGTGGTTGCCTAGAATGCCGCTGACTGAAGCGCCAGGATTTGGTTCGCCAATGATAGGCCGATGAATAACGCTTATTCGTGAACGGACACGCTACGGACGATTCGGGAAGGCGCAGTGCCCCTTAGACCCAGTTTACTAAGCCAGAATAGGAATCGGTGGAGCCCGGGAGATTCGATCTGGGGAGGCCGTAGGCAAATGGGATGGGAATTGGCCAGCAAAGAGGGCAAAGAAAAAAAAGGGTGAGGGAACTGCGCGACCGAGCTCTCACGCGCAAAAATTCTGTCCACACCCATCCTTAGCGGATGGAAAAAATAGAAGATAAACGAAGTTTAGAGACTTTCAGACTTTTATTGTGTCAAACTATCGGTTTGAACCTACAGATTTGCAGAGTAGGAAAAAGCAAAACCCTGACGAGAAGAAGGAAAAGGAATAGCCCCCGGTCGTAGATCCCCCTGGGAGATCGATAACAGAAAGGGCTGCCTGATAAGCAAAAAGACCATACTGCTGGGAAAAGTTGACAGACCGACAGAGCACGCGAAGAAGCGAAGGGAGCGAAAAAAAGAAAAAATCGAATTAAGATTACCCAAAAAGAAAAGGCAGAGACATCCCAAAAAAGATAAAAACGAGAGGGCATTAAAAATAGTTGAGTGAAAAAAACAGACCGAGAGGCGTGTTGGTAAGTAATCTGGTACTTTCTATTTGCCCGTCTCATGACAGAACCGTCCGAAAAAGGTCTGGCCCGTGGTTATCTGGTCACCCTCACCTTCATCATCATCATCATCATCACCACCACCACCACCATCCATTTCCATACTTACCCACTTCCTGCCTCTATTATCAATCTCTTCCTCGGCTCTCTCGCCTTCCTGCTCATTCACCACCACTCTCTCCACCATCCACTCAGCCCCCCCTAATCCTCTCTCCCTTTCTTTTTCTTCCATCCCCCTTTCATCATCATCTTCTACTACTCTCTCAACACCCCTCATTCATATCTGATCCGACATTCCATCCGTCTTGTTTGATCGTCCTGTTACCGCCGATCTTTCTTGTCCTGTCGCCGCTGTCCTCCCCTCCCACCAAACAACGATCGATCTATCATCCCGTTTCTCCAGACCGTTCTCTTTCTCTCTCTCACTCACTCTCTCTCTCTCTCTCGAGCCTCCTCTATTCCCGTACTTTTCCCCTTTGCCTCCCACCCCCAATCTATTTGAGATCGACCCTTTTCTTTTTTTGATCTCTCTTTTCTTTTTTTAAACCCTTTCCTCACCTGTTCATCCGCACCCAGTACTCCGGGGCACACTATCCGTTACGACAGGATCGCCACTCACACCATCCCGTCCTGGATTGGCCAACATACGAGCGTTTCGTGGCAGATCTGTTGTCCCATCAATACAGTTTGACTGCTGCTTACTTGATCTTTGCCTTTTAACTTTACGATCGCTCAACTTTTCCGAGAACCCCCTATCTCTGCCTAGTACGCTTAGGTCACCGTCAGGGATCAGTGTCCTGTCGTATCTCCGGCTCCGCCTGGTTGGCTCTGGGAGTTTCACTAGCTGCAGTTACCTGCCTCTCAGTCAGGCTGTCGCTAGACTTTTCTTTTCTTTTTTCTCCCCTTCCCCCTGCACTGTCATCTTGACCGACTTTTGACTTTGTGATACGATACATTACTTTGCCCCCCCGACTGTGGTGCGACGTTCCTTCACGACAAAGCCTTCTCCCTATTTCGACCACGCTCTCATCTTGAGTGACTCGCTCTACTCTCACAGGTTGCCTTGATCTGGGGACCTTGTCGCTGGGAGATAGAGAAGGAAAGTGAATATCTTCTGCGGGCGTTTTCTTGTTGGCAATGCTGGCATCAATCCCCCAGATGGAGACAGTGCGATCGCTCCCTCGAAATCGGGATATGGTTGCGCGGCATCCATCGGCGGAAGACTTGGACGCTGCTCAGCAGCTGATCTCATCTGCTCAGGCTGGTCGAGAACACCTTGTGGACCGTTCCCGTGACGATGATGTGGCTCGAGGCTACGATGCCTACGATGCCTACGAGAGAAAACATACACCTACCTACGATGCTGAACGGCCTACACTGCCGTCGACCGAATCCGCTTCGAACCCACTCGCAGAGAGGACATCACCC